GGTGCGTGGAGAGCATTTTGTGCGTAGTTGGTGGGTGTTCTGGGGTGGTTAGCGCCTACTTTCCTATCGAACATCTATCTATATGGCCTTATCTCTCCTTTTTTTGTGGGTGGTTGGTGGGTGCTCTTGTGTGGTTTGCTCCTTCTTTCCTATCAAACATCTATCGGCCTTATCTCTCCTTCTTTTTGTGGGTGGTTGGCGGGTGCTCTTGTGTGGTTTGCTCTTTCTTTCCTATCAAACATCTATCGTCCTTATCTCTTCTCTTTCTTTTCGTGTATGTTACTGTCTTGTACATATCAATTCTTCAGCACTTATACGACCTTATTGTGTTGCAAGTGCTGTAAAACTCTTACGAAAACTAAAACTGTCCTTCTTTTTTTGTGTGTTTATAACTCTTTTTTTTACACCTCTTTACTTATATTATGACCTTATTGTGTTGGAAGTGCCGTAAAATTCTTACTAAAACAAAAAGAGCATTTAGTTTTTGTTTAGTTTTAGCAAGAGTTTTACAGCACTCTCAACACAAATAGGCTATAGAAGATGATAGTATAGATCTCTTGAATAACAAAATGAAAAGAAAAAGGATAGATCAGGGTGATTAACCCTATCCGTACGTCGTGTTTTACTATCATATCCATACAATGTGGGAAACTGTGCTGTGCCACCCCTTTCCAAAGAGGAAATTTACTCATTAATCTGATCTGTACGCTTTGCATAGCAGTCTATCAAAATGATTTTTTGAGAAATACTGAAAATTTCAAACAGATCTTCGTACTAGAAGTATTCTAAAATGTGAAGAATACAACCACGGGCCGGGGGTACAAAATGACCCTAGGGCGTTTGGATAGGGTTCATGTTTACTCAAACAAAACTTGGGTGGTTGAAAGTCTACTGTTTGTTGGGGGTGAACTATCTTTTACTTTTGGCCCGTGGGTGGCTGGAGGACTTAACTGGAAGGTCCTTCTTTTCTTTTTTCTTCTGTCCGTGTATCTTACTTTTTCCCTGAACTAAATGACCTCGTTTGTGTTGATGTGCCTTTCTTTATTTGAGCAAACAAATGAATTTGTGAAGATGAGTGTTCAGCCTTGTGAATTTCTGGCTGAAGTGGTGCCTAGCCAGTGTGAGTTATTTTTTTATATTTTTTTTAAGCAAATAGAAATGAATCAAATAAAAGACACTTAATAATATTCAAGCATAAATCAGTTTCGGAAAGATCTACAAAAGACAGTAATTAATTATTTCTTCAGCTACTGAAAGAGACTTTGTGGTACTTCAGCTATAAATCAATAATACGCTTTTGAGGGCTCTGGAGATTCATATTATACAGTTAAAAATGTGACATGGCATTGCTTCTGATATAATATACCGAATACCTTCTCTCTCCTCCTTCCCCCCTATTCATGTTTTGTCAAATATGTCAACACCTTAGGATAAACTTGTAAAAAGACAGCACAATAAATGATTAAACTGATGATTACAAGAAAGAAGAGCTGTTCTTTTTTAAATGTTTTTTAGATTTAATTGAAAAGGGAAATCATACGCAGAAAGCTATCACATTGTTTTGCAACTACAAAGACGTGAAATATAATAATATATATGTTAGGAATCAAAATTTGGACGCCTACATTAGACAGTGTAGTACCTGATAGCTGAACCACAGTCGCCGATCAAACCTGCATTTTACATCGTTATGGTTTATGTGCACACAGTGCGTGACTCTATGGGGTTTCTTTTTCTCCTCACAACAGATATGCCGATCGGGCCAAACAGATCATGTGCAAGGCTGTGGTCAATGAAGATCCGAACGCCAGACTGGTCAGGGAACTCAAAGAGGAGGTTGCCCGGCTCAAGGATATACTGACAATTGAGGGGATTGAACTCAATGAAGGTAATCCTTTATGTTATTTTTGTATTTTGTTATCTGTAAAAGTGACATCGACACTGGCCCAAGAAGAGGGCTTGAAAGTCACAAGCGAAGCCATAAGAAGATTTAACCAACAAACTATATCATGGTTAGGCATACAAGCATACCACTTTGAGAAAGGTTGCTAGCTTCGGAGAGCTGTGGTGTTTGTGATCATTTCATGCTGCTTCCTATTATTTCCTTTACTTTATACTCTTCACCTTGCTAGCCACCAAGTCTATAATTTCTCTTCCTTCATGGATGTAAAAGGTCATCGTCAGTTCATGGTGGGTGGTTGGCGGGTGCTCTGGTGTGATTTGCTCCTTCTTTCCTAATAAACATCTATCGTCCTTATTTCTATTCCTTCTTTTTTATGTTTGTTATTCAATCGTAACACCTCTAATCTTCAGCACTCATATGACCTAATTGTGTTGCAAGTGCCGTAAAACTGTTACTTAAAGTAAACATCGGTTCATGATGGATGAACTATTATCTCTAAAAGTAAGTTTCAGCTTTTGTGTCAATTGTGAGATAAAACTTCTGGAGACTGGCATGTCTCTCTCTCTCTTTCGTTTCTTGCCTCTTTCCTTCTCTCTTTTCCTCCGTCCTTCTCTCTTTGTGTCTTTGTCTTTCTCTCCCTCCTTTATGGGACAGTCTATGCAGGTGGTTTTAGAGGTTTAAAAGCAATTTGCTTTGAAAGTGTTGTCGAACTGTCTCGGCCGTAAACCTGTGTTGTTTTCTTACTGCAGGCCAAACGGCTCAGGAGATGATGGAGCAGCGTGGCAGGTCGCGGTCGAGGAAAGAGTCGGTGACCTTGGAGGGTGGTGATGATGCCCTTGAGCGACTGAAAGAATCGGAGAAACTCATAGCTGAGCTGAACCTCTCCTGGGAGGAGAAACTACGCAAGACGGAGTCTATTCGCAAAGAAAGGTTAGAAAGTCTTGTGTACTTATTCATTATAACCCTATTCGTACGCCTGGGGTCATTTTGTACCCCAGGGGTTGTATTCTTCACATTTTAGAATACTTCTAGTGCAAAAATCTCTTTGAAACTTTCAGTATTTCTCAAAAAATAATTTTGACAAACTGCTATGCAAAGCGTACGGATAGGATTAACGAGTAAATTTCCTCTTTGGAAAATGGGGGCACAGAGTTCCCCATCTCGTATGGATACGATAGTAAAACACGATGTATGGATAGGGTTAAATCATCAGCAAGCCGTTCTATTGATTAAGCCCTGAAAGCAAAATTTTTCAGGAGAGAGGAAAAGCTGTTTCAATTTTTAAAGCAATTGTACCTACATTATGTATCTTTTCAGACTTCTTTGAATGTTTAGAATTTGAATTATAACAAGATATTTCTCAGACATGTGCAACCTATACCACAGGTTAGGAAACTGCAAGAAAAGAAAACAAGTGAGTTCGAATTGAAATGTTTGAGAAATGTTGCTTCGTAATACAAGATTCCAGAGAGAGCTGATGATAATTTTTGTAGAAGACAACAGGCTGTGAAGATTTGTTTCATGTGCTCCTATTGTACTTTCAGAGAAGCTGTGCTGGCTGAGATGGGCGTGGCTCTCAAGGAAGATGGAGGAACTATCGGCGTCTTCTCGCCGAAGAAGGTAAGGTCTTCTGGAGGTTGCAGTGGTGAGCTGGGAGAGTATAGAGATAAAGGCTATAATAATAATAATAATAATTACGATAGTAATGATGATAATAATAATAATAATAATAATAATAATGATAATTGAAAGTAAAAGCCTTTGTATAGCATAAATTCCTTCTCACAACAACAAGCTCAGTGCACTTTTATAATCTATATTGTTACCCCAGCAGACCAAATAGCATTCTGAAACAATCTCACTTTCTGGGAAGCATACAGTACAAGCTGCGATTTTACAGGTGCTTAGACACTAAGATACTGACAAGATCTTTTACCATAGAGCAGGTATGGGAAACTATCACAGACGGGCCAGATCTGGCCGAGAAGTAGTTTCAGTCCATCCTGCAAGTGAAATTGAGTAATCAGTGATAAATGTGGCCCATGGTCATTTGATGATTAAAGACAAAACTGTCCTTCTTAAAAATGAAAACGAGTGCAGGTTTGCATTTAGTGCCTCTTTGTATGTACGTATGTATGTGTGTGTGTGTTTGTGTATTTTCAGTCTCCTCACCTGGTAAACTTGAATGAGGACCCTCTGATGTCAGAGTGTCTGCTGTACTACATCAAAGAGGGCACCACAAGGTATGTATATCTTTTTAATAAACTGTTTGTCTCTGCTATACAGAATCGGCTGCAAAGATCTCTTTATGTGTCATTGTGGCTGTAAAATCTACTTCATTTTGTTGAAAGATTTTGTACCTGAAATATTATCAGTGTAGGAGTATTTTGTCTTTGCTCAAATCCCGGCATTTTGACATTTATAAATGCCAAATGTTCGAAGGTCATCACTGATGGGTCATACTTCTTTTCTTTCCCCTCTTTCATTTCTGTCTGCCTGTCTTTTCTTTTTCGTGCATTGAATGGGTATTATCTTGTCAAAATGGTTTTCTTTTTTTCAAACAAGTATACATACATAACTTCAGAGAGACAGTTTAAGATAAGCCTAAAGACACATTTATGTCATGACGCAGTGAAATCAGGCGCTCGTTGATTTTGGGGCATATGAAGTTATTGATATCATCTTAAAGGTCATTCATTTGCCTTGCTTTGTATGGAAAAATATCCATTTATCTTGAATAGAAGGAGAAATATTTGCGATGAAGGTGGTGGGGGTAGCATGGTTTTAGAGGTAAAATAAGCAGGAAAATGACCGCCAAAGTTTGGTAACTTGTATAGCTTGAGAGTCCTTGAAAACTGAAAATTTACAATTTTGTTGCCATTGAGCGACGTTTTTCAGTTTAAATCACATGGAAATTTGTTTTTAAATGAACATAAAAGGTGTTGAGCCAAAAAACCAAAATTCTGTAAAAATGTCCAAACGAGGAAAAATGCCTGTTTCTTTGATTTCAATATTTTTAACAAGCGCCTGATTTCACCATGATGCCTCACATTCGTTCAACTCTATCCTCTGCCAGTTAATTTTGAATGAAAGAATGTGTGAGGTTCTGAGAGTTGTCTCTGTGTTTGTGTATGTGTGTGTGTGTTTGTGTGAGTTTGCATTTTGATTCGTTATTTGTGTAATGATTCTGCATTGTACAGAGTTTAGAGCTTTCTTAGGATTTGGCACAATATAAATTCCCAATATTATTATTGTTATTATTATTAATATCATTACGTTTTTTTCTTGCTCTCCCATTTCTCAGGGTTGGTCTCCATGACACGTCTACGCAGAATGATGTCCAGCTGAGTGGGTTTAACATCCTGGAGGAGCACTGCCACTTTCAGAATGAAGACGGTACGTCATACATTTTTTTCTTTATTGTTCCTTTTCCATCTCGCATTTCTTTTCAATTGGCTTTCCTACTCTTTGAGTATAGACTGAGTGTAGACATCTGATTTTACCGCAGCCAGTCAGTCAGCCATAAAAAAAAGTTATGCTTGCGTTATCAGAAATGGGTTATGATTTTGCTATTTTTAGTGGTGTGTGATCGTCTCATGAGAGTTCTGGTTCGATTAGAGATTTTTTCCTTTTTATGTTTTCATGGTTCCTTGTTTCAGAACAAGTAGTATGTCTACAATAAGTTATTTGGGTTGTATTGCAGTTCAGCTAAATAAGTTAAGATGAACTGAATACGAAAATAATTTTTCTTTTAAAAATTTTTATTTTGCATTATATCTTAATCACTTCAGACTTGTGAAGTAACTTTTAACCTTAAAGAAAAAACCAAGTAAAGGCTCTGACTTTTGTAACTTTGTCCTTCTCACCTTTTGTCCCGTCCTCACCTCTCTTTCTATAACTCACTGCTGTAAATTTGTCCCTTTCCCCCAAGCTTCCCATTCTCCTCTCTTTTTCTTTCACCCTCTCTCTCTCTCTCTCACTGCTGTATCTTTGTACTTCTCGTCCCATCTCCCTTCTTCTCTATTTCCTTTTGCCACTCATTCCTGTATCGTTATTGTTGTCATTCCATTCCTCCTCCTTTCTTAACCTCTCTCCCTTACCCACTCATTTCTGTAACTTTATTCAGCCCCCCCCCCCCTTTCCCCACCCTCCAAATCACCATGATCTCTTTCTCTCTCCCTCCCTCACTCATCCACTGCTGGATCAGTATCACTCTTTACCCATCCCCATCCTCTCAGCCTCTTCCTCCCTCCTTCACTCACTGCTGTAAGCTAGTCACCATTCTCCCGTCCGTTCATCTCATTCTCTATCTCTCTCTCTCTCTCTTTCCCTCTCCCTCTCCCTTTCCCTCTCCCTCTCCCTCTCCCTCTCCCTCTCCCTCTCCCTCTCCCTTTCCCTCACTCTCTCTCTCTCTCTCTCTCTCTCTCTCTCTCTCTCTCTCTCTCTCCACGGCGCACCGGCAGTGGAATTTTAGTTGAGTGGAATTTTAGTTGGTTCCCCGCCGGACGCCTTATCACGCCGGGGTCACGGGGGTCAGCTCCCTGTCGCCGCTCTGTCTGGGCCGACTTAATTTTTGGTACTTTTCAACGTACAATTTAAGGTGTATCCTTGTATTTATGGTAATTCTCATTTAGTACACCCAAAGCACGCATTTCTGCTCCTGAGACTCAAAAAAGAACGAACGTTGTAACTTGTCTGGTTATTTCGTTAGAGGCGCTGGAGTCGGCAATGCTAAATTGTATTTTTTTTGGGACTAGCGTGAATGAAAAAAAATAAATAGAAAAAAAGGCCTTGTCAAAATCTGTCGAACTTTTGGAACATGAACGATATAGCATTGGTGCAGATACTCAGAAAAGATGGTATCTGCGCATATAATAGAAAGCTGTAATTTAGCAATTTTATCCATCGGGCACACAATTCGCTGTAAAGTAATTCCTTTAAATACAACTTTATGTGTCTAATATAATCGTGAATATTCGCATATTTTCTCAAAAGTTTATAAAAGTTACCATGAAGTTTCTCTATGAAAAGTACAAATCGATTTTAGTGCTAGAATATATCTTCAATGTAGATCTAATACACGAACAGTATCTCTTACACTCCAGAAATTCCTTACTTTTCTTAAAACGCTAAGTTTAGGTTTTGTAAGTTGACTGCATAATAGGGATGACTTCTCGTAATTGGGTTATAAGAATAATTTCTAGCTTTCCAGAGACACTGATTCAGCACCAGACTTTTCCAGCTTTATTTTTCGTTTCTATGACCATTTGCAATAACTGACAATGTGACTGATTTCTTTACATTCATAATTGTGTCCACGCATATTTCCGACACAAAAACTAAGAATGAATGTGTTAGCTGTCATTATTTCTATTCCATACAAGTTTATCTCTACCCTTGTATTTACACGGTTTTGTGGGGGTTTTTAAATCGCTTATATTATATCTTTTTAGTTGTATGCAGGCTGCCACAGACACAGCATGATTCATGAACAAAAGCAGAGTAACTTTCTCTTGTTTAATAGTAAAATAAGAGCTAACGCTGATTGTCTTTAGTTTAAAAAATGCAGATGTGCATCTTTCTTCTCTTATAACTTGACTATTACTACTCGTACAGATTTAAAATTTCTCATGGTAAAAGACATGATATTCGTAGTCAGTTTAACACAGATTTTGGAGAGATCTGTCGTGCCTTTTTTCAATTAACAATCATTTATTCATAAGTTTGTAACTAAAATAGGACAAATTGGGTACTCTACAAACACTTGTTTAGAACAAAAACTAAGGCACAGAAATTAACCATTCTAACGCAGAATAAATCTTCAAACATTGAGCTTTTAGTGCATTCGTGTAATGGTTTGCTTTGTGAGATGAGGAAGAAGTTATATCATTTTAAACAGAGTCAAAAATACGAACTTCCTAACCGACACCGGCAAAGTCGCTTCAGGGCTCATTAACCCCGTGACCCCGAGCCGGGGAGCTCCGGCGGGCTGCTGAGTCACGCGAACTAAAAGTAACAGAATCAGGCGAAAAGTGACACCGTGTCTGTCTTTCTCTCTCTCTCTCACTCACTCTCTTTCTCTCTCTCTCTCTCTCTCTCTCTCTCTCTCTCTCTCTCTCTCTCTCTCTCTCACCCACCATCCCCAACAACTCCTTTCATTCTCTCTCTCTCTCTCTCTCTCTCTCTCTCTCTCTCTCTCTCTCTCTCTCTCTCTCTCTCTCTCTCTCTCTCTCTCTCTCTCTCTCTCCCTCCCTCCCTCTCTTTGTCCCGGTTTCTCTCTCTCACTCACTGTTGTATCCCCCAACCACTCCTTTCATTCTCTCTCTCTCCCCCCTCTCTCTCAGGTGTGGTGACTTTGCTGCCGTGTGAGGGCGCTCTCTGCTACGTGAACGGCCGCCAGGTCACAGAGCCAACCGTCATGAAGACTGGCACTCGGCTCATCCTGGGAAAACATCATGTGTTCAGGTTCAACCATCCTCAGCAGGGTGAGCACACAAACAAAACACACTCCAGGGATCACTGTTTTCCGCGGATCCTCGATTTTTTGCTGTTGCGAGAACTTCCCTAAATCTGACAGCGCTGGCGGTCATTCCACCCCAGCCTTAAGTTGGGCCGCGGTAGGCCTTCAGTAGCCTGAGATCGGCCCTTAGGTGCCCCGCGATCTGCGGCTTCGACTAAGCTCGGCCTATCATAGACTGGATGAGAGTGAGACGACTCAAGGATAAAGAAAGTCTCGAGCAGTGAAGAAAACATGTACTCTCCTTTGATTGGAGGTGAACTGGAACTGACCTTTCCCCTCTTCTTCCGTCTTTGGTTTGTGAATGAGGAACGCATTTTGCAGATAATTTTTTGTTCACAATGCCATACGAATGACAGAACTTCAATCTTTTTAAATGATGTGGAAGGGGGGGGGGTGGTGGTGCACAATATTTACAGAAGTGAGTGTATCAGATCGACCGTCAAAGTTCAGGGGCTGCGAAAAATGACACCATTGATCCCTGACTCTCACAGGGGCATATACGCTGCGAAGAATGCACATGTACTATTGCTGTAAATATTGTCGCCTCAGAACTATTTTGTCTAAAGTGTACTTAAGCAAAGAGGCATTTTGGACAAAATAGGTCTAAGGCGACGATATGCAGACATGTGTTTAACACCATGCAGGCACACACATACACTTACATGCACATACTCGAACAGGCACACTAGAACACTTGCTCAAAGGAACTCAGTACTCAAAATGACTCGGATGCACTTACCCACAAACATTAACACATGTACACCACCCTACATACACGTATGTTTCCTTAAAACCCTTGTACATGTTGGATTGAACTCAGGAGCATGTATTGGCTATACCATTTTCTTTTCTGCTAACTTTAAACATATCTCCTTAGTCTTTTGAAACATCCTTTCATTCATTCAGTTCAACTCAGCAAATGAGTGTACTTTGAGATTATTAATTCCTCGTTAACAAAATAACTGTTTATTTTATGGAGAATCTTTGAAACCAAACTTTATATAAAGAAAAGTCACACCTGTTTGAATGTAGTATAATTTTTTTTTTACAGCTACAAAGTTTTTGTATGTGTACTGTGAACTGTTACAAAGTACACATTTTCTATAAAATTAGGGAGACTCTTGTTTTTGTGGTGTTAATTTATATTGGACCATTCCATGTTACCTATGTCACCGAATTATTGACACTACTTTTGAATTCATACCAAAACTGGAAAATTTTCTTTTAATCCAAAACAAGTTACGGGTTAAAATGTACAGAAAGGTTGGCTATATATACAAGAGAAAATGAAGAAATCGGTGCTCAGGACTTTCTTCAGCATGTCTTCATCTCTGTGTTACGTGTGTCTTTGCAGCCTCACTTTTCATGGAATGGCCCTGTTATGAAATAACTTTCCTCTAAAGAGAAAAAAATGTCTTTTGCATGCAGTGATTCCTTTGTTTTGTGTTTATCCTCAGCTCGAGCAAGCCGTGCCATGATGAGCGAGTCCATGATTGAATCGACGGACATGCCTATCAGTAAGTCCTCCCCATACCCTCCCTTCTTAGAAAAAAAAAAAGAATGATTGTAAATGTTTAACACCCATATTGATGCAGTTTTGATCATTTGGGAGACAGGTTACTTTGACCCTGCCTGTAAGAGGCAACCTAGGCTGGACAGGACACACTGTCCTGCAGACAAATAGAGATACTCAATGAAATAGCTTCTTCACGAAGCAAACTCACATCTTATATATGCGATGGCAAAGAGCATAATCATTACAATATATCCGTTTGGAGCAAGTTCCTCTCGAAACCTCAAAACAAAGTCCTCTAGCCTTATTGAAATTTATTTATTTTGACCAACTGTTTTACAACTGCTGTGGAAAATGTTTTGGTTCCCCAACTCTGCCTTGTTCAGCTGTTTTGGTGTCAGATACACCACCACCACCCCCCCTCCCCCCACTGTATGAATGAATGATTTCCTTTTTTGTTGTGCTACAGAGGACAAACCAAGTGTACTTATTAGTTTATGTGTATCTACTCTGTGAAAGAAAATAGTGTGGGGGTCTCTGAAAGAGAATGTGACAGACAAATAGGAAGGAAAGAAACACATATACATAAAGAGAAAAAGAGAGAGGGGGTTGAGCAGGGAATAACGGTGGTGGTGCGCACAAATTGTACAATTCTCTTTAGATTATAGAAGCTTCCGTACAGTTTTCACACATCACTGAAATGCCCGACTAATTTCAAGTTTTGTTTGTTTGTCTGTCTGCAGCTGAGCCTGTAGACTGGACCTTTGCCCAGCTGGAGCTGCTGGAGAAGCAGGGCATTGACCTCCGCAAGGAGATGGAGAGTCGGCTGATGCTTCTGGAGGAGCAGTACCGCAAGGAGAAGGAGGAGGCCGACCAGCTGTTTGAACAGCAGAGACAGGTATGCCACACGCTGGTGTAGTGAGTGGTACAGGTGTAGTGAGTGGTATAGGTGTGTTAGTGGTACAGGTGCTGTATAAGTGACAGGTATATCACACGCTGGTGTAGTGAGTGGTACAGGTGTAGTGAGTGGTATAGGTGTGTTAGTGGTACAGGTGCTGTATAAGTGACAGGTATATCACACGCGGGTGTAGTGAGTGGTACAGGTGTAGTGAGTGGTACAGGTGTGTTAGTGGTACAGGTGCTGTATAAGTGACAGGTATATCACACGCGGGTGTAGTGAGGGGTACAGGTGTGTTAGTGGTATAGGTGTGTTAGTGGTACAGGTGCTGTAGAAGTGACAGGTATATCATACGCTGGTGTAGTGAGGGGTACAGGTGTAGTGAGTGGTATAGGTGTGTTAGTGGTACAGGTGCTGTATAAGTGACAGGTATATCACACGCGGGTGTAGTGAGGGGTACAGGTGTGTTAGTGGTATAGGTGTGTTAGTGGTACAGGTGCTGTAGAAGTGACAGGTATATCATACGCTGGTGTAGTGAGGGGTACAGGTGTGTTAGTGGTACAGGTGTATTAGTGGTACAGGTGCTGTAGAAGTGACAGGTATGTCACACGCTGGTGTAGTGAGTGGTACAGGTGTGTTAGTGGTACAGATGTTGTGGTCATGCAGGTACTGTAGAAGTGACAGGTGTTGTGGTGGTACAGGTGTTGTGGTGGTACAGATATTGTAGAGGTGATGTGTGCATAGGATAGTATAAAGGGATATAGGTTTAGAAGTGATGGGTACATAGGAAAAGATAAAAGGATACAGGTATAAAAGTGACAGAGACTTCAAAACATAATAAAATGATATAGGTGTTGTAGAAGTGACAGGTGCATAGGAGAGGTTAAAAGGATTCGGGTATAGAAATGACAGGCACATAGGACAGCATAGTCTGCACATACAATTTTTTAACTCCATAGTTGTAAAATTTTGTTTGTGATGGTCTGTAGGCTTAACAACAAAGACAACTGTTTGAAGAATTAAAGTGATGTAAGAAGGACTGAAATTGAAATTGTATGATACCGATGCTGAAACTTTTGAAAATGTACGGGAATATAAAAGTCAAACTGTTATTTTAATTTTGCTTTTGTAATGTCAGGATGAAAACAGAGATGAAATCTTTCTTTTAAATTTACATATATAATATGAATTCTTATCACGTTTGCAGGATTATGAGAATCGCATCCAGTCTCTCCAAGAGCAAGTGGAGAGACACTCTATGATCTCCAGCGTAGCCACCACAAACATATTTGAAGAAGAGGAGGAAGAAGAGGGTAAGTAGTTGTCTTTACCTATCTGGAAGATGGCAGTTTTATTAGGATGCATGTATAGAAGTGACATGTATATATAGGAGATTATGCAGATATATAGAGATTGTCTGATGTGTTTATTGAAGGAAGAGGAAGAGCAATTGGGTAGATGATTTGCTTGAACAGAAGGAAGAAATAAAAGGATGACTTATGAACTCGAATACATGGCTTAACACTTTGCAGCCATACAGCCAGCAGTACAAAATACTAGGCCAGGGCAAAATCGACTTTACTAGTCGACTAGTCGACTGTGAGCCCAAGATCAACGCTGTGACCCTCATCTACCAGTCGCTCGTGACTCTTGACTCTTGGTTACCTTGCCTTTTCTTGATCAAGACCAGCCTCCCCTGCCCTTCAACGGGGAGTCGTCAACGTTGGTAGTGGGGTGGGTGCGGCGAAGTTAGAGCAAGCCAAGAAAAAAAAGTTTTGATCAAGACCTAGGCCCAAGCGTGTGTGTGAGTGTGTGTGTGCGGGCCACTGACCTAAAACTGTGTGTGGGCGAGGCGAGGCTGGCTGGCCTGCAGCGTCGCAGTAGTGCAGTGGTGGCGCACCAGTCGCTGTCACCGTCAATGGAACAATTACTGTAAAACTAATGATTGCTGCCTTGGCTGTCTTACGTTATTTTGTTGGCTTCACTGTAAATATTATAATTATAGGATCCGTTCAAATTCCAAGAGATCAGATTTGGTTTTGCAAAAACACACGTAAATAATTATGAGATCAAAACAGTTGATTACACATAAATATATAGGTTATATGAATTGTTTTTAAGCTCAATTTTGATTTTTAAAACGAAGTAAGATTAAATAAATTTTGCGCAGAAACCAACTTTTAAAGGCTAACAGTAACCCCACAACGTTTGTTTTCCTGAGCCGGAAGTCAAAGAGCTAAAAATAGAACTAGTCAGCCCAAAACTTATGACCCTGTAGGCTATAAGAGCATAGGAAGTTGCATCTTCACTCTATGTAAAGTCAAGGTCAAAGTCACAGTCACTGTTGACTTTTAGACTTTGACGAAAACGTCGAGTCGACGCTCCGACTTTCTTATTGGCCGACTTTGCCTTTGCTTACAAAATACCCCATCTGGTCACACAGCCAGGAGAGTGACTGCCTGGGCCTGGTGCGCCAGGTGACCAGAACAGATGATTTTTTACCATCGCATTATTGCGCCAAGTTACTGCAAAATGTTAAGGCACAATGCCTCTACCCTTTTGCACAGCAACCACATACATAAGTGGCAGTGGGCGATGGTGTAAATCTAGCAGTCCCATCTTTGGAGCTCAAGTCCATAGGTCCTGTTGGCTGTTGGGACCAGGACTGGGAGGGTTGATTGATGTGATTATATTTGAGGAAGATGGGGGCGCGTTAATGTTTTTACGCCATAGCTGGTATAGATAGCTCATATGCATGATATTCATTTGTTCCTGATAGTTTGCACATACAAATTTTGAACTTCATGTTTGTACGATTTTGTGTGTGGTGGTCTAGGCCCAACACCAAAGGCAACTCTGAAGGTTTATAGTGCTGTGAGAAGAACTGAAGATGAAATTGTATGATAACGATGTTGAAGCTTTAAAAGATGTACAGAAGTAAAAATTCATTGTTCATTCAGAAAAAGGCATTATTTGTTTATTTTTTTCACTATTATTTTAATATTTTCCAAATTGAAAGTTAATGTGTACCCTTTGTATTTTATTGTGTGTGATCTCAGAAGTCCAGTGGACTGACCGTGAGAAGGATCTGGCTGCCTGGGGATTCCGCAAGTGGAAGTATCACCAATTCACTTCGCTCAGGGTTAGTTTTTGTAGACTACTTCAGTGAAATGTTTTCCTCACTTTTTTTATTATATCACTCCAAGAGGAAAGGACCGAAGGATGCCTGTACTTTTTTCTCCCCTGGGAATCAGATATTTTCTTTTGTCGGATAGATGGGGGGTTTTTTCAAGTTATTGTTATTTTCATTAATAATAGCTTTTCCAGCATATTTTTAAAAAAATGAGAGATAGGTGTAGTTTTGAAGTCTTCCTATAAACTTTTGCTTTTTCTGTTATCCTTACACATGGTTTCCATGTACATTCAGTTACCATTTTTGTTTATCTTAGTACCTGGTATCTTTTAACTCATTCGCGATTGACAACACACTCTATGGAACATTACAGCAACTGCAGCAGACCTGCACTTATCACTACATGGCATTGGACAGAAGGGCGAGAGCCCAGCTGTTGCTGGATCGATAACAACAACTCGTTCGCGACGTATTATTTTCGGCTTGTGGACGAATTTTTTTCGGGAGGGCGAATGAGATGGTGACTAGTGAGCAGTTAAAAGGTCTTTGGGGCCAAATAAATAATATCAACGTATTATATACTAATATTTTCAGTATTGTTTCTAGAAAACATCTGTAATGTTTATTTGTGTATTTTTCAACTTTGGTTCATGTAAGAGGCGTTTATGCAACACACTTTTGATTGGAAGCGGATAAAATTTGAAAATAAAAAATTAATAATCTTTGGTGAAACTCAAAAAATAAGTTTGCACTTAGTCAAATGTAACATCAAAATAACCATAAATGAATATAGAACTGGAAAATGTTGAAAAGTTTGCAGTTATTTACATATATTCCATAATATTTCTACATTTGGATAATAACATCCAATAATGAAAAAAAATAAATCTATTTTATAATCTTGAAAAACGATCTCAAACAGAAAAAAACCCACTCGTATCTCATTGGAATTATTCAGAATTACATTTGGATTAAACTTATACATGTCTTGAGTGGCACTTTTGTGTAATTTCATCAAAAAGTAGTGATTTTTTGGTAGAAAAAAATATTTTGACAATTTAGATCTAGACCTAGATCTGGCACTCAAAAATATTGATTTCTCAATAACAGTGCATTGGCAATATAAGTCCGATCGTATCAATATTATAAAAAAGAGTCCTACACTTCTTTAGTGGGCCAAATAATGATAGATTTTGTAGTGTAAAATTACTAAGACTGGTGTCCGGGCTATAATTTTGGCATCGCGATAAAACAAAGTGAAATAAACTACGATATCGCGTTTCAAAACAGAATCTAAACTTCCCATTTTCAGTGGATATGCTTGACCCGGAAGTCAACATTATATTATGACCTTTATTTTAACATGGATATGTGGATTGGAATAGAATCTAAGCTAAAATTGAAGATCGGTTCTCGAGCCGCCGGGGGCGGCTTAGCGTACTGACGGCATTTTAGCCGCGCCGCCCCCCCCACGGCTCAGCATAGCGAATGAGTTAAGCTAGGGTTGTCATGACTCATTGGTCACTACAGAAATTGCACCACAAAAGATAAAATCCAGAATGAGTTTGCATTCTAGGTCAGTTAAATCATTTCTATACTGGGATAAAAAATAGTTAAGTTTTTTATAAGAATGGTGTGAGCAAGTTTTTGAGCATGATTTTGTGCTCAAAATTTAATTTGAATTGATGTAAGATGGTCTGTTTAGTCTGATTGAATTTTTAAAAATAAATATGTATGTGGGTCAGTTTTCGTTAGGATAGCCAGACTTTCAAATTTTGTTGACCATGCCCTGTTCAGAAAGAATATCTTGGTTGGGTGGGCTCAGGCTATATTCTTACAGCTCATGACAGGCATCTGCGAGGATAAGTTATGGTGTGCATTGTTGGCCAACATGTTGAAGGGAGAAGTATAATTAGTTTCCTGTTACTTGAAGTTACAGAGATCTTGGGGTAGTCGGCAAGTCTTGTTTATGAGTTTGGCAAAAATGATTTTTTTGTGTAGCATGAAGATCCATTCATCTTTGGGATAATTAGCATTTCATTTATTGTCTGTGGGCGCTGTAAAGATAATTGATTTCATGTATGATGATGTTTTTTGGGGGGTAATCAGCATGTCTCCTTTATGAGAACAATAATGGTAATTTCTTTCACGTAACTTTAAGTTCCAGACATCTTTAAAATAGTAAGCAGTTTAGGAACCCCTCATAATGGTTCTCAGGGTAAATGCTGTCCCACTTGTAGCTTTATGTGTTTTACGTGGTTCATCGTGTTGTTTCAGGATGACCTGTGGGGTAATGCCATATTCCTGAAGGAGGCCAATGCCATCAGTGTGGAGCTCAACAAGAAGGTAAGGATCACAGGGAGGATTTTGTCATCAATGTCGGATGCTGTCAGTGTCAGATGCTATCATGCCATTTGTCACTGGTGTCTGATGTGGTCAATGTCATTTTTGTGTGACAAGTGTCCTTTGTCAGTGATTCCAGGTGCAAGCACCGTAAACTATTAAACATAAAATAACTCCTTTATAATGTATGTCTACACATGTGTCTCTCCCTTTATATATGTGTACGTGTGTCCCTTCTTTTATATGTGTGTGTGTGCGTGAACGTGTGTTTCTTCCTTTATATATGTGTTTGTGTGTTTTTCTTCCTCTGTATGTGTATGCCTTTGCCTCTTCCTGTATATATGTATGCGTGTGTCTCTACCTTTACATATGTGGACGCATGTGTCCCCCCCTCACATATGTGTATGCCAATGTTTCCCTTTACATATGTGTACGTGTATGTCTCTCCTCACAGGTCCAGTTCCAGTTTGTGCTGCTGACGGACACTCTGTACTCCCCACTGCCCTTTATATGTCTAAGTACATGTGTATGCATAATGGGTCTCAATATTACGCTATTTAGCGGATTTCCGCTTCCGCCATTTCCTCCGCTAAACTCCGCTGCTGGCAGTAATGGGCCACCACTTTCTGTACATAATCAAGATTGTAAATATTGTCTCCCCTCACATATTATGTGCTGGCATATGTCTCTCCGTACAGGTTCAGTTCCAGTTTGTGCTGCTGTCGAACACCCTGTACTCCCCACTGCCCTTCATAAGTACATATATGTCTCTTATTTTATATTATTATTATTATGTGTACGCTTATGTCTCCCCTCACACATGTGTTGGCATATGTCTCTCCGTACAGGTTCAGTTCCAGTTTGTGCTGCTGACGGACACTCTGTACTCCCCACTGCCGGGCGAGCTGCTGCCGTCGGAGGACCGGGAGGAGAACCGGCCCTTCCCCAAGACCATCGTGGCCGTTGAGGTGCAGGACACCAAGAATGGCGCCACTCACTACTGGAGCTTGGAGAAACTACGGTAAGAATCTCTGTGCTCGTATCACCTTTCCCCCCTCCCCCCTCCCCCTGCCTCTTTCCTCCCCTCCCTCTCGCCTCCTCCTCCATCTCTCCCTCTTCTGCCCCCTTCTTGCTCCCCTCTTTCCCCTTCCCCTTCCCTTCCCCTGAACCATTGTATTTTGCCCACACCTTCACAAATGACCCCTGTTGTAGTATCTACTATCTACATTTTTGGTTTCTGGTTTTGTTTGTTTTGGTTTTTTTCTGTTTCATTAAGTAGTTTATCTTGTTTAAATTTCTGTTTCTTTTTTTCCTGTATATTAAAGTAGTTTGACTTGTTTCCTTTTATTTACTTTTTTGTCTTTATTTTCATCTGGCGGAGGCTTGTGTATTTTATATCTGCCACACTGTAAACTGTAGAAGTATTCCCCTCACCTGTAAATGCTTTATTTTTGTCTACAAGAATAGTTGAGGTAACACTTAAAATAGGGAGCCAGTGTGTATAAAGGTGTGTTATATAAATAAACTCTATTGGGGGTTCCTGAATGATATACGCGTTTTGAATAGTTTTTCTATCCTTTTGTGATATCGGCAGTGATTGTGGTTTCTTCTTGCTTTTGTGGATTTTTTTTTTTTCAAATCTTAAAAACACCTGTCTTGTTTTTTTACAAACTACTGATTTTGTACAAGAATTGCTCTGACTTATTGTCAAACACAGTAAGCTTCAATATGAAACATTACTGTTATGTCAAGTGTCAACTCATTTAAGCAACATTTGTTTCTTTTTCTCTGGGGTTGTTTTTTTTGGTTGTTTGTAATTTTATTTGTAAAAGAAACAAACAAACAAACAATGCAAAATTTTCTCTTGCTCTGTTTGAAAGAGCTGTTGTGTGTTTGAGTTCTCTACTGACATTGCCAGCTCTGTTTTCCTGTGGACCTGTGTGATATTTTGCCTCATGGCCTGCACTCTTTGTAATGATGTGTGTTTACGTGTGTGTGTTTGTACGTGTGCGCGTGTGTGCGTGACATGTCTGGGCACGGTCCCTATCCCTGCACTTTGTAGGAATGAGGAAGGGGACATGTAGACGATTCTGCTTCCTTGTGTTAAGTTTCAGAAGAAAACATTCTGTCCCATCACTCACCCCCTCTCCCCCAACCTCCTTTCCTCTCTCCCCACCACATCCTCCACCCCCTTTCTTTAATGCCCGATTGGCTTCATCCCAATGAACACGTTCTTTACCAGTGTGCACCCTGAGACTTGATGTCACTTTTTGTTAAGCTGTGCTCCGCAAGATCTTCTTTGGCTTTTCCTAATTTTCCTTTTGTATCTTATGTTTTTTTCTGTTTTGAGTTGTGTTTGTTTTATTTTTGTTGTTGGTTTGAATCGGGTGAAGGGGAAAAGGGAGCAGAGATAAGGGTAGATATTTTAAATTCTTTGAAAAGATGTTTACTATTCACACACGGGTGTCACTTCGCGAACTAATGATCCTTTTTTTTCTTTGAAAGTTTCTTGGCCACCGCTAGTTTAAATTATTTGGAAAAATCTGAACAGATAGGTGATGGGGACCCACCGGGGTAATAAAAGTTTGGGTTTTTTTTAGAGCAACTGAACGGAGAAGTGAATGGAGAACAATGATCGCTGATGTCTGTTTCAGATTTGGCATTTTATGATAACTCTTAATATTTTGATTTTTTTTCTGTTTTCATTGAGCAGTCTATATCCTCTGTTCTGTATGTGGCACCTCGACGTCTCCATTTGCTTGCTGTTGTAGGCCAGTTCTTTGATGTGACTTGGAAGGACGGGGTTCATTCACCATAATGTTCTTTTGAGAATGCAAGCTTTTGTGATATTCCTGGGTATCCTGGAGACTAAAGGGGAAAGCAGAATCTAAAATTATCCAACTGTCCTTTCTTTGTATAAAAGAACTCATTCTGGTTTGAGGACATATTGTTTTGGAGCACTTTAGAAATAGAAGCCTAGAAGCATGACTCCGTCATTCAAACAGAGTTTTAAATTCTATTTTCTTTCCTGGAAACTTTACAATGCAGGCGACAACATACATACCATGGAATAGGCAAGTTCGTGCTTCTGATTAGTTTATGATGGTTCGAAATGCGCCACAACATTGCCATTGGTCTGCCTCTGATCGGATACATGTGTCCACTACGTCCTTAAATGTCCTGCTTTAAGGATGTGGTGAGCATTTAAGAGGGCCGTCTCATATGTTTCTCTCAGGTAATCTTAGGTTGGTCATGTTGGTAGTTCTGAACTAAGGCCAGAATGAGTTTTTGTAGTTTTTCTGTACGTTCTAGTCAAAGGAAACACTGATCAGACCAGGATATATCGAAACTAATGTACGGTTAGGCATCTCACTGTTGCAAGCAAAAGACATCAGTTTGATTTTCATGGCGGGAAGTTTATTTTGTCAATTATCCTCGGCTTATAGTTTGGAAATTGTATGGCACTCAGCCCGATTTTGGCATCGACTTTCAGGGTCGAAGTATAACACCATCATAATTATCTCATTTGCGTCCGTTGGGGTGGGGGGGGGGGTTAACGATGATTTGATAATGATGATAATAATGCAGATAATTTCTAAAGCGTTCACTCCATACAGTACAGCATAGGAGGACCTTCAGTTTGCTGTCAAGTTTTAGCTAGACCCACTCTCCAGTGATTCTTTATGTCTCCAAATGAGGGTATGTTTGGCAATGATCTTGTCTATAGATTCTAGATGTTTTGTTGGTGCCATCTGAAGAAGAACTGAAAAAGGTCATACACGTCATACAAGTGCTGAAGACAAGAGGTGTCACTTGAGAGTAGCATAGGATAAAGAAAAGAAGGAGGAGAAATGAAGCAGATAAATGCTTGATAGGAAAGGAACAAACCACACCAGAGCGCCTGCCAGCCACCCACTAGAAAGGCGTTCATCATTGTTCATTGAGTTTAGTTTGTGTGCACAGGTTTTTATTTTTGTTCACTTGACGTTCAGTTGAAATTCTCTTATTTTTTTGTCTGTCTGTTTGTTTGTTTCCCATGTTACCTGATAATTTCCTTGGCTGTTCATGTTCACTGTTTAGACTGGTGCTTGTCAACCTTTTGATAGCCGGGCGGTCAGTTTTGCCATCTTTTAAGAAGTTACAACTTTTGTACCGCCCGCCTACATAACGTTTTTTTCTGAGCGGGGGCATTGGATGATACCTGTCACTACCGGATGCCCCCCCCCCCTTTTCCACCCCCCAAAAAGTATCAAATTGTCCTCTAGTGGGCGATATCACCCAGGTTGACAAGCACTGGTAGCTCAAAAGGGGGAAAAGAGGGGGGGGGGGGTATGTGTGTCTCTTAATGACCGATATCTGTTCTCAGTTTGCTCGTTATGTATGACCGGTCCGATATAATGTGTTCTCAGTTTGTTTGTTGTGTGTGTGTCTGGGTTTGTTACTTTTTCTATATTGTTAGTCTTGTGGAATTGTTATACTTGAGAATAACAGACATAGTTTGTTGCGGGTTTTGTCTAGTAACAATTGTATACATGTACAACCAAAGGGTTGTAGAGGCAGAAGGTTCTCTTTATGTGATGTTTATGTATACATTATGGGTAATAGTAGTAAATTGAAGTAGTAATTCTTAGTAAATTATAAGTTCCTGAAGCCTTTTTTGTATGTAGTATTTAAAAATTGAGGTAGAAGGTTGTCAGTTTTGTGAAGTAATACTCATGAAAAGAGAAAACGCTGGCGGTGGGGAGATATTTGAAATACTTCGCTCTTTGCTGTGTTTCAAGTGTTGTTCCAATGTTCAGCGGTGAAATAGAAGAGATAAGACTAATCGTATCTGCATACCTCCATTTGTTGTGTGTGTGTGTGTGTGTATGTGTGTGTACTGTGTGTATGTGTGTGTTTTTATGTATATGTATGTAAGTGCACGCATGTGTTCTTACGTAATGTGTTTTTTGTGTCATGGGGGGACTTCCAATACATCAGGGTACTGTGGGG